CCCCCCCCCCCCCCCCCCAATATTAGTAGATTACGTTGCTAGAGGCACCAGAATCTGCAGAGAGTCAGGGAAGGCAGTGGGCTGCCATAGTACAATTTAACCACTTCCATTCCTGCCCTGGTTCTAAATCTGGTTTTCTTTCGGTTGACAGCATGTGATCTAGCTACAATTAAATCCGTGTTCATAATAATATTTATGCAGCTCTTCCTATCTCTGTAATTGCATTCTTCAGAATGCATTCAGACTGCTGCTTGCCAGAACACATCTGTGACAATAACCTTGTCTGAACTGTAATCTTCACTTGGAAAAATCCAGTATATATCTTGAAATGTAAGGGTGGGATATTTGCATTCAGAGGTACTCAAGCAATTTAACATGCTACTCAGGAATCATTTGTGTAAAATCCAGCCCCATAATGGATTTTTATACATATTCACTTCCACAGGAGAGATGCAGGCACTTGGAAAACACTGCCATTCTGGAATCATGGCCTATTTCAGCTGTGTTAGCTATGCGCTACACTGGCTTTTCCTCCTTATTGGCAAGCGTTGTTGATTTGCTGCATCTTTCAGGGTTTCCCAATCCGTACTCTGCATTTGGAGATTTAAAAGAGAATAAACACACTTTTCCATCAGTGTCTCTCTCTCTTTTCTGGTGGCTGTTTTGTTTCCTTTCTTCACATTTTGCTGAACCTCAATAGCCCAGTTGTTAGCAATGTGCTAACATATATGAAGCCCAATTCTTCTGGACAACTTCAACAAAAAAGATAAGACAGCCAGCAAATTGTGTTCCCAGGTTCCAAGACCATTATGTGTTCAGAGATCATTTATTATAATCTTTCCCAAAGAACTTGCTGGCTGGTTGATAATATAAATTATACTCCAACACATCTGGAGTGTACTAAGTTGGGGAATGCTATTCTGTTACTACCATCTGTATGTCAGCTTGGGCACAAGTGGCTTTATTATTATGGCCTCTGTCCCTAGATGGTCTGAAGCCAACTTGGTGCAACATCCTAACTGAAGCCAAGCATGTCTGAATCTGGTTGGTGTTTGAACAACCATCTAGGAACCCCAAACCACTTTTAGTTGTATGATGGACAGAAGGTGGAATATATCTTTAGTAAATAAATGTTGCATATTTCTGAGCTTACAAAACTTACTGCAAATGGCACTCTCAGCAAGTATGGACATCTAGGAACCCCAAACCACTTTTAGTTGTATGATGGACAGAAGGTGGAATATATCTTTAGTAAATAAATGTTGCATATTTCTGAGCTTACAAAACTTACTGCAAATGGCACTCTCAGCAAGTATGGAGTTCAGCCCATGGAACAAGATTTAAAGATTTTTAAAAAGGAAGATACCAATAGAAGAGAAGATAAAGGAAGGTAGAGAAGATAAAGGAAGATAAAAACTAATACAAACTAATATAAAGTAAGGGAAAAAAAATCAAAGAGAAAGCTAAAAGTGCAAGAAAGGGGGGAAAAGGTAGAAAAAATTGAAAAAGATACAACAAAATAGCTTTCAATCTTTACAGCAGTAAATTTACAATCATAAATTTGTATATTACTCTGTAGTTACCATATAACTCTCTTCTTTCTATAATCTTGTCTAATCATCAAAACCATAAATCATAAGTTGATTGGAAAAAAATCATGAAACTTTGTTTTTGTACATGATAACTGCAGCGAAATTATTGTATGCACAAAGATGGAAAGATTCGGCATTACAATGGAGGAATGGTGATGATGGAACTTGCTGAGATGGCTAAATTGGCGTCTTTGATCAGAGAAAAGACAATATCTACGTTTATTGCTGACTGGAAACCCCTTATGGACTTTGTGTAAAACAAAAAAATGAACATAGGAGTACGATTTCAAGACATCTTTTAAAGGGCTGTGGTTCAGCTAAGTCATAATATGCTCTTGGCTGCTTTATGT